GCCCTTCCCCCTTTGACAATTTTCTTCTTTTTATTTTTTTAAATAATCTTTACAGGAAAAAGGGGGGTTTCTTTGCCCAAATTGGGGTTTTTGGGGATTTTTGTTGACTTTTTTTCAACACGCATGGCTTACGGGGAAAGATTCTTATTCCACTTCCCCATGGATATTTAAAAAAAAAATTAATAAAGACCCAAAAAACTATTAAAATTTAAAATTTAAAGAAAACTCAGATGAGTGTGTATGAAAAAATGTGTATATGTATGTGTAGTTTTGACCCCAAGGTAAGTAGAAGTAGCAAGACAGCCTTTTAATCTTGGGATATTTATGAGGGCAGACAAAAAGGGCATCAAAAAAAATCCTACCATCATGTTAAAAAAAAATTTTCAGGCTTTCCCTTTTTTTCCTCATTGGCCCGGAAAGGTAGGGGGGACCCTTTCCCCCGGGTGGTTGCTGGGCTACCAACCTAACGGTTTTTAAACTCTGGAATCGTTTTGTTTGAGAAAGACAAATATCTTTATTTTAAATGTTTAAAATTTAAATTTTTGGCAAACACTTTCCCCGAGGGGAGTCAAGGAGGGCAAAAAGGGGTAAATAATGGGACCTGGGGCATCGTCCAAAAATTACCAAACAAACAGGTAAATGTTGCTTAGCCAAGGGGAAAACTTGTGTCGTCTGGGGGGCTGCACCATTTTTCAGCCTTTCCCTTTGTTCGTAAAAGTTGTAGTTTGGCCTTTTTTCAGCAGTTTAAAAAGGAGGCGTTTTCGAGGTGGGGTTTTTTACTGGGTTTAGAGTTTTTACCTTCCGTTGCGCATTTAAAAAAAAAAGTTTTTTTCAACCCTTTTGGGGGTTTTGCGCTTTGGGTTTGATGTAGTTTATTCAGGAATTTAATTTTTTTTACATCACCCCGGTTTTTGTACCCTAATCATATAAAAAATTTTTTACAGTGTGAAACAAAATATGTGTTTTCCCTTGTCATTCCTTCACGCAGAATGGGACCATACCCAAGGTTTTTTGAGTTTAAATCTAAGGGACACGCACCCAGCATTTTTATTATTTCGAGACACACACCCCTATTGTTAATCAAGGTTTAATTTACTTTTTTAAAAGAAAAGTTTTGGGGATAAAATTTAAAAGGGTTTAGTTTAAAAAATAGGGAAGATGATAAAAAAAGTTCCGGAATAAAAAAACGTTTCGAGAGGGCAAGGGGGGAGAAAATCTTGGGAGCAAACATTTGTTGGGAGGGGGCAAAAGGGGGTTTTTGGATGTGTTTTGGGGGGGGCCTTCGCTGTTGAAAATATGGGAGGCAGGGTTAAATGGAGGAGTGGGTGAGCTGGGGGGATGGTGGGTGCTTGGGGGGGGAAAGGGACAGGGTTTAATTTTGGCGGGGGGGGAGTACTTGGGTGAGATGAAGGGGGGTTTGGGGACCTTTTGAGGGTGAGCACTGTGCGGGGGGGCTGGTCAGATTGTTTAAAACTGTGAGAGTTTAGAAAATTGTTGAAAAGGATTTTGGGGTAAAAGAGAGAGGGGAGGGCCCCCCGGGGGTGTGTTTTTTTAAGTACTTTTTAAAGGGTTTGTATTTACAAAGAACTTCACATATGGTTATGTGAAGCAGTTTTACAGCCTTGATGAAAGTATCCGAAGTTATTTAGGTATTAAAGGGGCCCGTCCCCAGTACTGACAAGTTGCCCTTAATGATATAGATAAGGTGGTTAACATATTTTTGATAAGAACGCTATCCTTATCCCCTTATGATTTTGGCCCCCAAAACCCCCCCCATCCACCTACCCCTTCCCTCCCCAAAATCTTTTTTTTAAAATCCAAAACCTCTTCCTTTTTCCTCTATAAAATTTCTTCCTCGCTTTTACTCATCATTTTTCTCTTTTCCTCTCCACTTTTTTTTTATTAGTTAAAACCCTCTAGCCCCTTTCCCACTGCAGTTGACATTTTTTTCCTTGCTACCCCGGTGTCTCTCCCCCGCAGGGAAAAAGCCTGGCATCGTGACCAATTTCCGGATACCCCTGGCCCCCCTCAGCCCTCTCCCCCCGCAAATCCCTTTAAAAATACTGGGAAGACGACGCCAAGATCCCCGCCCCCCTCTAAAGCCTCTTTGGGAAGGATTTTCGCCAGGTCATTGGAAAAACGAGCCAGGCAAGGCTTTAAAGTGAGTATTTAAACTCAGATTGCAGGTTTGGGGACAAAAACGGGGGGTGGGGGGGGGTACGAAAAGCTGTGGGGGTAGCTGGGGTTTGTTGATCAAGTGTGGGTGTAAAAACTATTTTAAAACGACCCCAAACACTTCCGTTTTGTTTATGGTTCTGCATTGGTTTAAAAATATTGTCAATTTCTTTTGTATTCAACCCATGCTCACCTTGTTAATTGAGTGTTTGTCCAACCACAGTTGGGGAACCCCCATCGTCACCCCCCCCCTTTCCCCCCAAACATTTACCCCCGGCCAGCCTGTTGGGGTTTATGTTTAAAGGGAAATATATAAACTTTTTATAGTTCTTTTTTCCGTCCCCAAAAGCCCTCATTAAAAATTTTTTCAAAAAACACTTTTTGTAGATTCCCAAATTTTTTTTTTTCTACATGAATAGACATTGGGGGTTTTTGAGGGGTCCAGTCGGCTTCATACAGGACATTTTCAATACTGCACGGTTACCCCAACGTTTGTTTACCTTAACGTGGGAGGGAAAAAATTTTTATGGGGAAAAAACATATCCGGGAGGTTTTACCCACTTACCTCCGGGGTACTTACCCAATAACCCGATTTGTTTTTCGGGGGGAAATAGTGTGGATGTTTTCCCTTTTGGCAAAAATTTATTTTTTAGTAATATATGACCAAGGGGGTTTTTTATCGAATTAAGGATAAGGGTTTTTGGAATGTGAGTAAAGGGGGTTTTCTTTTTTAGGAGGGTTTTTTTAGAGTGTAGTTTAACAGTAGGCACGGGTAACACACGCTGGTAGTGCTCCAGAATTAAAGCCAGTGGGTTTTCCCTTTAATACGCTATAGTTTCCGTTACTTTTTGTGAGACATGCAACTCGATTCTGCCTTGGCTATATTTGTTCCCGAAACGTTTCGCCTTTGAAGCAACGCTTCGAATAAAGGCGAACATAACACTGGAGACAAAAATAATTCTGAAGTGATTAGTCCACCAGCCTTCAGGGTGAATCCCTTAGTTCCGTTTCTGTGCGGAAAAAAATTGTCATTATAATCAAAAAGTGCTAAACCCAATAGGGTGTTACAGCTTTGCAGAGCAGGGGTGTTGCAAGATCATAGTATAGTAAGGGTGGTGAGGATAATAGAGGGAGAGTTAAAAAGGGCTGTGAGGAGTGTTAAAGGAAGAATTATCAAAGTTCGTGTAATTAATCAGTTGTCAGAGGTGGGGCTGTCAGCGAGGAGGGAAGATAATGTAAGGGTGTTAGAGTAGTGACTATGTTGGGGGTAAATTCTGCGTGCTCGTTGAAAGACCACCGGAAAATTTGTCAATACAGGTATACTAAACTAAAAAAAATTGTAATTGTTAGGATAAATATAATAACTAGAAAATGCTTCTTTGTATAGGCCTTAAATTTTCCTGCACGTTAGGTTCGCTCTCTTATTGGCCTGTATAAGATCCAATTTTATAACCCAAAATTGCACCTTCTGTTCTCCTTAAAACATTAATGCTTATGCATTCAATGTGAAGAAAGAGTTTAGACGGTTTGAGTGTAAATTTAAAACTTTACTGACATTGCTAAAAGAAAATTCTTTTGTGGGTTTAGCGCTTGCTTTTGCTTATAATAAAGGTTACAAACATTGAAAGTTTGAAGCCTATTAGAACAAGCATTCTCCAGTAACTGACTTGAATTTATTCCAGTTTTCTTTATAATTATTAAAATTAAGAAAATGAATTTTCTAACGTTCAATGTTTTAAGGTTTTATTAAAAGAAAGCTTTACTTTTAATAAACAAGCGCTAAACTCACTAGAGTTTAGCGCTTCTGGTTTGCTGTTTTTTTTAAAAATTTTTTTCCAAAGAAATTAAAATCTTTTTCCCTGGGCTGTATAGGTGCCATTTTGAAAAAAAAAAATCAAATTGGACTTTTTAAAAAAAATATTTGATTTTTTTATGATTATAATCTTAAACAGAACCGCAAAACCAAAGTCGACAGTTTGAGTTATGGCTTTTTATAATCGCAAACATATATCGAAGATTTTCCGGGGGGTCGGCATGTTTTTGGTATAAGGATTTGTTTCCTTTAAACCCCAAAGTCGTTGTTTTTTTTTCAAAATGCCTTTAAAATTTTTGCTTCAAATTTTAACCAGGTGATATCTAAGGCAAAAAACCCCCGAACTCAGCCGGGTTATATTAAAACACCACACATACACATTTACCGGAGGGGGATTTTGGGTGTCAACCCCCCCGCGGCCCGGTCGTTTGGCGTTGTTGATGGTTACATATTTTTAATGTTCAATTGATTATCTTTTCAGGTTTTCACACGTCTCTAGAAACTTGGGATATTCTGGAGGGGGAAACTTTTAGTGTATTTGGGTTAATGGGTCTTTGTGGCAGTGCTGATTTTTCAACTTGTGAATTAATTACAAAATTTTTGAACGCAGATGTTATTCTTTTTCTATGTGAGGTTTTAGGCAGTTCGTTTATTTCTTAAAAGTATTGAAATTTTTTTAAAGTAGTGGTGGGAAAAATCCCCAATTCCCCGTGGGTTTTCCATTTTTAAACCCTCTTCCCCGAGTAGTCAACGTCGCTCCTTGCTAGATTCTTCCCCCCCCCCACACACCTTTTTTTTTTCTTTGCTGTTCCTGATTCGATCTTCTGGGTATAATTACCTAGTTAATGTGCAAATGAGCAGATCTTTGTCCTGTCATTGCCGTTTATGTCTGGTTGCATACTTAGCTGCGCCCGTCATGATAAAGAAAACCAAAACTCACACCCCACCCACCCACATAATTTAATGGGTATCCCAATTCTTGTTAGCTGTGAAAACAAGAGTGTAATCATTCAGACATTACAGCTCATTAGCAGCATCCTCACTAAGTGGAGCAATAAAATGTGAGCTCATTAGACAAATGGAGAGGTGAGCTCCAGCTCTCATTTCCATCTAACTCTCCACTGACGTAGAATAACCTTGTATCAATTTTTAAACCTCTCTGCAAATTCTTTTATACTAGTCATTGCTTCTTTCAATTTCTTAATTTAATCACTCTTACAGTGAATCATTTTCCAATTTCTGTAGCTCATTTGACACTGCAATTTCAAATCATGAGATCCCCTCACTTCAAGCTGTGAAATGAGAATAAATAATCGCTTTGATACTGGATCCATGAATTACGTGTGGTGTCAGAAACCCTATATAAAAATATGTTGAGCAAGAATTGAGGCTACTTGTGTTGATCCTTTGAACACTGAACGAGTACAACTGTGGACTTGTTATTGCTTGTTATGGCTTTCCTTACACATTTGCTAATTTCACTTGGTGATAATTCTAATTTCATGAAGAGGAGTAATGGACAGTTTGACCCGATAATATAACTTTCTGGTGTCAGGAACTCTGTACAGAAGTTGTTTCAACAACAGATAAAGCCACTCCACAGATTTTATTTTGAATACTCTGTAGCTGCAACATTGAAGTCCATGTTTTGCAACCATAAGCAGCTATGTAAGATCTTTTGGGTTTAGCGCTTTATGTATATAATGGCAGACTTCATTCCATAAATTCCTCGATACACCTGATACCTTCTCTTCTTTCATCTGATTCGTGATTCACTTCATCTTTCAGTGGCCCGTTCCCTTTCAAATATATCAATACATTCACTTCATTCGTGTTCCTTCTTTTAGTCTGACAATTTTTTTCCTGGATAAAGTTATTCTTATCACTTTTCTTTCTTTAAAGTTCATTTTCAACTTCCTTCTTTTCCATATCCTTTCAAACTTCTCCAGTTTAACCTCCCTTTCGAATCTCCCAAGAGTACTGTATCATCAGCAAAGAACAACTGACAACTGTCTCGCTCACCAGGTTCTGATGGGTGGAGGTCGTCGCCACCTGATTCCGACTTCGGTGTACGACCGAGAAGAGAGGAACCAGCGAGGAAGGAGAACGGACGGTAGGAACCTCCTTGATGAGTGGGTACACGATAAGAAGACGCGCGATCTCAACGCAGAGTACGTCTGGAACAAAGCTCAGTTCGACAAGGTCGACCCCAAACACACCGACTACCTCCTGGGTGAGTATCGCCAGCGTTTGGGTGGGTAAGTGAGAAAGGACGGGGAGGGGGGATCTGCAATTAACCCATAAACTAGTGATGAAATTAAACGTTTCGGTACGCTCCCAGACTTAACGAGTCAGGAGTCTTACAATGGTTTATGACAGATGGCAAGCTTCATCTCTTTTCACCTCCAATTTGTCTTTTAACAGTGAATTGTTCCCGTCACGGAACTGTGATTTATTAGAGTTGGTGAATCAATCTGGACGAATGCCCACCTTCCTTGGCAGAATGTCTCGTGGATCTTTCAATGAGAGACGAGTCTGTCCGTTTCATATTTTACTGAGATGCCAAAAGACCACCTACAAGATTCTCAAATCCGCTGAATTAAGCTTTTATACAGTCTCGACCTGTGAGTGTGTGTATGTAGTGAACCTGCTCAGTGAATTTTATTTGACGTGGCCAATGATGCTTCTGAATATTTTTGAGTAATCTGTCTTGTACACAACAATTAATATAAGTACGAGCCAATTTAGTTTTTATCAACAATACTTTTAACCTAAATGTTCTGTTAAAACCGTTAGGCTCAAGTTTTAGTCCCTGTAACGTTCAAGGTTAACAGCCATACAATTGTTGATACCATTTGCAACACCCCAGGAGTTGATGCTAAAACTAGTACTTCACCATTTTGGTTGATCAATGACATGACAGCCGGTAACAAATTTCAGCAGTGTTACCAATTAACATGCAATAAACTTAAAGCAAGTTCATAAATCACGACGGGTATGGGATTATACAGCCTTGCTTGGGAGGGTAATGCTGGAACGGATTCGCTCTAATTGGGTATAGCAAGACCAATCCAATCCATGGCCCCCAACTTTCAGGTTACCCATTTGAGCATGCCACATAAAGCATGTTACCCCTTTCACAAAATGTTGTTATTATTGATATATATGGCTAAACGTGAACGTATACAGCCTCGCATACTCTGCTAATCCTAGCAAAACCATTGAAAACGTAAGAACCACACATACATTATATATAAAATTAATAATGTGATGAATGGTTTTGAAAACCGACAAGTTGAAGAATTGAGACACTTATGCAACATATGGGAATCTTTATTGAAGAAACGTTTCGCCACACAGTGGCTTCATCAGTCCAATACAAAGTAGAAGTGGGTAAGGAGAGTAGAAGTTTGAGGTAATCAGTCCCTCAACCTGGAATCGATGTGTTCAGTCCATCACTCTTGTAGGAAGTGCAGCATAGGGCCAGAGAGGTGGCTTATATACTGCGGTGAGATGAGTTGAAGCAGGAAGAGGCGGGATCACAGTGGGACCTGCCACTAGTGTAAGTAGGTCGTCGCCCAAAGGTTGGGCAAGCGTTGAAGTCTTTGTACCAAGATCCCATGATCCCATTCATCACATCTGTCAGACACTGCAACATCATGGGATCTTGGTACAAAGACTTCAACGCTTGCCCAACCTTTGGGCGACGACCTACTTACACTAGTGGCAGGTCCCACTGTGATCCCGCCTCTTCCTGCTTCAACTCATCTCACCGCAGTATATAAGCCACCTCTCTGGCCCTATGCTGCACTTCCTACAAGAGTGATGGACTGAACACATCGATTCCAGGTTGAGGGACTGATTACCTCAAACTTCTACTCTCCTTACCCACTTCTACTTTGTATTGGACTGATGAAGCCACTGTGTGGCGAAACGTTTCTTCAATAAAGATTCCCATATGTTGCATAAGTGTCTCAATTCTTCAAAATTAATAATAGCTACAAATTCACAGTAACAGTGGGTAAATACTAACTATATACTGCACAGGGCAGTACACATACATACCAGCTTATGTCTACCTCGGCTGATGCTCACAGATAAACTGACAGTGTGAAATAGAGGCAGCCTCAGGAAGTGAGTGACGCGTACTGGACAGGTCGATCTGGGCTACTGAGTGACTTTTGTCCTGAAGCATACTTGTCAAAATACTTTTGGGTTTCCACACACTTAGCTATATATTTCTTCTTTTCTAATACTGTATATTAGTTTTTGATGTTTATTGTTATTTGGTTTAACTTTATTACTTACTTATAATAGGTTTACTTTACAACTTTATATACTAAGACAAAGTTAACAATAATCCTCATACCGGGTACCGCATTGTTTTCTTGATTTTCAGAATTCATAACTTTTTTTCTGTCACCCCTCCATTACCCCCAAAAAATGGTTAAATTACCCCCAGGGGGTAATTTACCCCCAGTTTGGGAACCACTGACAGACTAACCAGATCGTCAAGCCACAGTCTTAGTCTGAGATACTGTAACTACCGGACTTTTGAATGAAAGTGTTACTGACAGCACGTTTTTTTACGGTCATCAATCCTGCAATCATTTTTGTAAAGTAAAAGGACACAAGTGCAACTAACGTTTCCACAATAAAATGTCACATTAGTTGCACTTGTGTCCTTTTACTTCACATATTGTCGGTAATTCTACCAACTTTATTACAATAATTTTTGTGTTCTCTAATCCTAATGTCCAGAGATCTGGCTGTTCCCCCCAAATATACTTTGTTGACTGTCCTGGACTGTACATAAGTGTCTTTTTTCCACATCTTGTCGGTATCATCATACCATTTCTACATCGTATGTGTTGTGTTACACTGACAGTTAAGGAAAACTCAGCGGACTTTTTCACAGTTTCACACACTAACCCAGGACAGCACACTACATCCCCTTGAGTAACCTCTTAAAAAATACTAGATTTCAATGCTAGCTCAACTATTGCATTGAAGATGCCGTCCAAAACTGTTTCCCTCACACTAACAGGTTGAGAACATTGTTTTAACAAGGCCGAAAGAAAACTTCCTGCAAAGCCAGGTAACGCAACGAAAACCGTTTTTACAGTAATCCGGCTGAAGGCGGATTGCACGATGACAACATCGTTCTCCTGCCACTGGCTGTCTGCATGAACAGTTCTCGGGAAAGTCTAGGTTTTATTCTGATAGTTGCTCTGATCAGTGAGGAAGATGGTCGTAAAACTCTCATCTGTTGCCCATGAAGCTATCATCCTGGTCGGAATTTTCCTCATGAATATTTCTGTTTCATATTTCCTGCATGGCGTTCATCAAAGTGATCAATGAGCCCAATATTAACTCACTAATATTCCGTGTAATCTGTTTCAAGCACTCAATGATTCAGTATATAATCTTCTCGCGGGTATATACAAGTAATGAATATTCTTATCAGGCAATTTTCTTCTGTAAACATCAGTGCTACATAATGTAATTTTATAATGAAATTCTGCGCACTCGAGATGAGATCTGACAGGATGCCGATCTTTCTCCTCTCTCTGGTATTATGCGTACATAGACTCGCATAGATTATCACCGAAGACCACAAACGCAGTTGTGAGAAGCTCGTACGCTATACTAGCACTATTTCCAAGTGGTTGTTAGATATATGAATGGTCAAATACTAATAAATTCGCGGCATATATTAGACCAAAACTATAATCTGCAAAATTGTTTTATAAAGCGGAAAAAAATCACTACAAGAAACTGCTTCCTAATAAAGAATATTACTTATGAAGACATAAAACGGAAAGTATATGGCTTTGAATGACCTGAAAAGGCGATATGAACGTACCTATATATAATTATAAGATACTAAAAAAATAAGGAAGATTGGAGCACCATCAACAGGCTGAAAAGTCAAATATAAACGGTGAAAAAAGTGCCTAAAGAACAGAAAATATTTATTCACAAAGTGCAATAGACTGATGGAATGTGATCCAAGAGACAGCGAATGCTACAACAGGAAACTTATGACTGACTAATAGACAGGGCAAAAGAAGCATAGCTCGGCTCCTGCACCTGTAGGTTATAAACAGGTACATGTATATGTACCTGCGCTTGGAACTGATGATAGTGAACGTGATGGCAAAAAAATGATGACAAGCAGAAAGCCCTAAACTACTGATACCAGTAGTTCAAGGTTTTCTTTTGTAGATAAATGGTTCAGAGAACCGACACGTGTCGGTTCTCTGAACCATTCATCTACAATCCTGTCAGACACTGCAACTTCTTGGGAATTTTTCGCTTTCCAAACCCTTGGGGGCCCC